AATCCTCCACCAGGTGATTTGGGCTCTCACACCACTGACACTGAGCTACTGGAGGCGTAGCTACACCTCGGCCCGGAAGGAGACTGTTAGGCTGCTTCAATGTCTGCACCAACTCAGCCACCTGCTGCTCTAACCCGGATCTGGCCTCCATAGCATGCACACCTCGGTCCTGGGAATTCCTACCTCTGTTGTTCTGCCCCCAGGAGTGGTCTCGGGCAGCCAAGGTACTGATCATCTGGTTCAGCTAGGGTGAAGTCTTAGTAAGGATATCCCCTCCTGGGCATAGAGACTCAATCACCCTCTGGCTGTCTGGAGTGAGGGCGTTGTAGAAGTTCCCTACTGTGAAAGCACCGCTGAAGCCATGATGGGGACACTGGCAGAAGTATCCCATGTACCGCTCCCATGCATCACGAAGTGACTCATCTGGCTCTTGGCGGAAGTGAGTGATCTCCCGCTGAATCTCCGTGGTCTTCGATGCTGGATAATACCTGTGCACGAACTTGTCAGCCAGATCGTCCCAAGAGGTGATGGACAATGGGGGCTGGGTCTCCAACCACCTCTTAGCATTCCCCGCCAGAGAATGGGGGAAGAGGTGAAGGCGGATTGCATCATCCGGAACACCATTCAGCTTGAACCCGTTCGTCAGCTGCAGAAAACGGGAAAGGTGTGCCCGGACTTCCTCATCCTTCAAGCCATGGAACTGGATAGAGGATGTGATGAGCTGAATCCAGCATGGCTTGATCTCGAAGTTGTTTGCAGGAATGGGCGGATAGAGGATGACCGGGCGGATGTCAGCAATCCGTGGAGTATAGTAGTACTCCAGGGTGGGACCCGGTGGTGGTGGATGATGATGGTGCCCAGCTCCCTGGGGTGTTGGTCCGTTCCCCAAGATCTGGTTCTGAGGAGGTGGGTTCTGATCGCCTTCCATCTCGTACTCGTCCTCGAGTCGCTGGTCAATTGGCCGTCTCGGCGCTCCACCGTAGCCAGTCTAGCTTGCTGTTGTCTCCGAAGTTGTTTGCAGGTGCGCTCAATCTCAGGATTCAACGGCAGTAAACCTCCCGACTGGCTACGGGTCATGCACTAGCTGCACACAATCAAGCAATGCAAACCGTGAAGGCACAAGTGGGAAAAAAAAACAAAACAATGCAAAAAATGAAAATGCTAAAGTAACAGAAATCACTTTTCTTCAACAACCTAGCCGTCCCCGGCAACGGCGCCAAAAACTTGACTCGCTGTTACTGTCACTCTAGAAATGGCCAAGTGTAACCACTTCCTAAAGCGTAGTATAGCGGGTTGGGTTTTAATGTCAACCCGGGTCCTAGATGTGATGACTACTCAGTGAATTCGTATTATCTAGCAATGAAACTTTAGTGAAGTTCTAAACTAACAAGCAAGCAAAGCAACTAAACGTTGTATTCAGATTAAGAGAGGTCACCCGGATATGGTTCCCCCTAGACTGCAGTTAAGCCGGATTGTAATTGCCAAGTTCGATTTCTACGATAGTTATACTGCGGAAGGTTCTCAAACATCTGAAGTCTCGACTAAAGGTCTTCAGACCCTCTCAATCTGAGTCTCTAGTGGCGACTAACCTACACCGGAGTAAACAGATTGAGGCCCTATGAACAAAACCTCCACTACCGAATGGAATTCGGTACAGAATAGTGAACTGGCTCCTCGACTAAAGTCACCAATTCACTACCTTCGATTAAGGATACTCTATCAACCTAGGCAGATATTATCATTCTAGGTTAAAGCAGAAACAACAGGAATTTGATCAGGATTCAAGTCATTCAATCATTCAAACCTCAATTGAATATAATCAAATCATAGAATCAATACTTGGGTTCATACAATCAAACCTAACATACAGATCTAGGGTTTCCCACACCCAGATGAATGGGGGAACTACTCTAGGGAGAGAGAAGCAAAAGCAGGATCAAACGCGGAAATCATACTGTGAAGATGGATTTCTGCTCCTGGACGTTGAATCGGCACTTCTCCAAGCTCAAACCAAGCTCCAATGGTGTTGAAGATCGATCTAGGGCACTTGGAGGCTCTTGTTCGTCGCTTTCTCTCTCTAGGAACCGCTCTGTCTCTCAAAAACTCGAATCCCCTTCTGTTTGGCTTGGAATCCGCTTAAAAACCAGAATTTCCCGACTCGCACGGCCAGGGTGCACGGCCGTGCATATCACCATTCTGGCCGTGCACCTCAAAACGCGGCGTACCATTAAGTCGAACTTCAGCCATCTCGCACGGCCAGGATTGCACTTTGCACGGCCGTGCGGATTTCACTTGTGCCCGTGCGTCCTCTCGCACAATCCCGCACGGCCAAACTGGTCACTTGCACGGCCGTGCGGGTTTTCTGCTCTGCCCGTGCGTGCTCTCGCACAATCCCGCACGGCCAAACTGGTCACTTGCACGGCCGTGCGGGTTGTGGATGTGCTCGTGCGCCTTCCTCAGAACCTCGCCATGCGTCCGATCCTCGCCCAATCGACCTCAAACTCGCTCCCAAGCCTCCATTCACGTACTAGGACCTGAAATATCATAAACAAGCACAACCTAGCGTGAAATCGGCCTAAAACACGAGAATCAATACCTCAAACGGAGTAAGAGCAGGGGTAAAAACATGTGTAACTAACGGTCTATCACCCATAAGTTGCGTCCCCATAAGTTCATGCAAATGGGTACTAAATTTAGTACTAAATTTATTTTGTAATGGACGATAGTTAATTTCATTGATGGTGAGTTGGCCATGGCTCAATCCAAGACCTTTTCAAAGCCTAAGGATGGTTCTTCTGCAGTGGGAAAATATGACTCCTCTAACTAGTGATGGCTACTATGTGCTAACACTTCACGATATTAGAAGTAGGACTATATATAGTCTATTATTTGTCGTTTCATTTTCATGGATATATTATATGGGTAATACGGGTACCTAAAGTATCCAAACGGGTATTAGCGGGTAACCCGCGGGTACCCAATGTTGTGATTCTTAATTCCAAGTCCCATCCCACAATAAATATAACGGGTATTTGGGTACCCGTAAACCTAAAAAAACGGGTCGGGTTTGGGTATTCCCATATACCCGTTTTCCGTTGTCCACCCCTAGGTACTACTAGAGGACTTTCCAAATTAGCAATCTTGTTAATTTAGCAAGCACCCCACATCACTAGCCATTGCTAAAAAATTGTCACATAAGTTTTACCTCACTTCAGCAATTACTAAAAGTTGGGATGGAGATACTCTGGAGAATTTTTAGCTATAGACAAAATATACATATTTCTTGAAGGAGTGACCAAAACGGAGGGGATGAATTGAGACCGAATATTTTTCTTTGATCGACTATGATAGGAGAAATTTTTTCTTTGTGGTGGTGGTGAAATTTTTAGGGGCAAAGTCAATAGATTTTTGAAGGAAAATCTCGCATAAGGTTATGTTTGATATGTTATTATAGTAAAGAGACACTTTGATTAAACATATCCATTCACTCAAGAATGTAAACGAGAAAGCATACATAAGCAACTTTGTCCAAGTTTAGGATAACAAGTGATAAAAATATCTTCTCAAAATCAAACTTGATCACCAAATCTCCTTATCATTATGCTTATTACTTATTAGAGTCGATCAATTCGATGACAGAATCTAGTACATATTTGTAATTAATTTTCAGACCGTGGAATTCATAACAAGACACGTTTATAGAGCATGGACTGTTTATCACAAGGCTACGGATGCACATCAACAAGGAACTTGTTCGGTCAACTAGCTGATAGTGTTATTACCAGGAGTAGAACAATTTTCAGCAGGTAGAAATCAACCAATGCGAACTACTCTTCGAGCTCATGCAGCGACTTCACAATGGCTTGTTCAAGTATAATTTGGATAGGATTCCAGAATTGGAGAGATTTCATGGCATCAGAAATCAGGCAAAAGTTCGATCGACGGACAACGACTAAAACAAAACAATTCCTTCCTTCACATTGAGGCCTCAAGAATCACCATTGTACTCAAGAATAACACTGGTCATCTTCCACGGTAAGAAACTGAGTATCAATCCCCTTATTAGGTGACCAGTATGCATGCTAGTACAAAGCAATATGGCATCATATAGTTGCATCCATTGCCACCACTCTAACCGAGTTCTATTGTCTTCTATCAGAATAAGACATGTAATAGTCATCCAGAGCTTCTCTAAAGTCTAAACTGTGTTGTAATAAATTACACGACATAGCACCAAGGATCATCTAGCATCTTAATTCAGCTCCAAATTCCTGAAGCTGCAACGCCTCACCTGCAAATACCATCTTGTACATCGAACAGTATCATACGCATCAATCTTACAGAACCAAGATACGACTCTAACTCAAGAGAATGAGCTGCTCAGCCTTAGGTTCTGTTAGTCATATCAAAAGAGTAACAAACTGTGTTAACGATCTGGACGGAGGATTAGAGTGGCGACAACAACAATGCTGGTAAATGACCAATCAATATTATTTCCCAAGTTTCCATAGCGCAGCAAAAACAAGGAGACAATACCAACAAAGAGAACGCACATCTATTCTCGGCAAAAGCAAAACCATTTCCAGGAGTTTTTCATAGTCATGTTGAAATCAAGGTGAACAACAGTAAACACATTGCAGCCCAGAAGAAAACACCCAGCAACAGTGACCATAGACGACACAATCTAAGTTGCGAAAACAAATTCGAAAGCTGACATCAAACTGTCATAAATTCTCATCTTCTTAAACAGCATCCACATTCCAACCACCAGATGGCTTTCCTTGAACCTGATGCTCAATTCCAAACCAAGAAGTAGTAATGCATTCTGTTCCAAGAATCATCATAAAACCGGGACACAACAAGAGCATACATAACCAATGCTACCCATCATCACATTCAAAACAAGAATCACAACTACATAACTCGATGATTTCAAAGTTTCCCATACTTTCACGTTCAAAACATGGAAATGGACATGCTTAACAGAAGCAAGTAAAAAAGGGAAATTTAATGAGTCAAAGACAGTGTGCAAGTGTGGAAGATGTAAAACACTTTGATTATATTTAGAACTAATTACAATGCTAACCAACGCTTCAAATGGCAGTTTAGCACCACAGGGAACGCACTAACATACAACAACACTATCATCAACGACACACACAACAAGAGGTATGCGATATCACGCCACTATCTGTCAATTCCCAGGAACTAGTATAAGCAATCCCCCCATCCATTAACACAAAATGGAACACAAAGGGTAAGAGCGTTCATCGCAAACTTGGGTGAAACAGGCTAATTGGATGAATTGCAAGGTTTGGAAGCGGAAGAGGTGAGATGCCTCCAGAGGTAGCGACCACTAGCCATGTCAACGCAGGTCCAGAACCCGGACTCCACAGCTGACCGGATCTGCAACAATTGGAAAGAAGAAGACGAAGGGGAAATTACTTAGTGTTCATAACAATTGCAGCAGTGTAAAACTGAGAGCAAATAGGCTAACAGTACAGTAGCAGCAGTAGAATAAGGAGAAGAACCTTGGTGAATCGAGTAGTGGAAGATGAGTGGGTGGAATCGCCGCGGTCGTCGGGAAGAGGAGCTTGGGAGGAGTTGAGGTTGCGGACGAGGAAGAAGCCGGCGAGAGTGGCGGAGAGGAAGACGAGTATGATGCGGAGAGGGCACATCTCCCCTGCCTGCCTGCCTGCCCGGAGACGGAGAAGATGGATTAGCAGTAGCGGAAGTGGAATCGGAGGAATGTGGATTACAATACGAAGAAGTAGACAGCTGATGATGACAAAGAGAGGGAAACTTTTTTCCAATTAGGGGGGAAGAAAATGGGGGATTAAGGCCAGGCCGCCAAGGCCAGGGGAGGCGCGATCTGGAAGGGGATTGGTTCGTTGTTGGCCTTGCGGTTTGACGAAAGGCACAAAAATGGATTATTGTGTTAATATTTAATTCAGAAAATTCTTCCTTCATTTCCTTCCACCTAATCTAAACAACCTAGATTCATCATATTCATACCCCAATTACAAGGCAGGTAAGTAAGTCAAACTTTTTTTTTTACAAAAATAATCATATATTAATCAGAAAAAGGTAATTACATCATGGAGTTGAGCCCGGCCATAAAGTCAAAGAAACGGCTTGTAGACGGGTACAAGAGAAGGGTTTTCCGAGCCACCAAGTGGGCTACCCTATTATTACGCCGACCTACAAATTGAACACTAAACCCTCGATGGCTAGATAAGCAATGCAGAACTTCCTCTAGAAGGGCACCAATCCGGCTGTCTCTAACCTTAGAACAGTTGAGTTTATCAACTATCCCCTGACCATCTCCTTCGAATCGTACGTCTGTAAACCCAGCCGCACTACACCAATGAACTGCATCCCGGAGCGTGAGCACCTCAGCAACCAAAGGGTCATCAACGACACCAAACTGAACACCCCTAGCCCCTACAACCATCCCGGCCGAAGATAGGACAATCATTCATCCTGCCGAATGAGAACCATGCTTAGTAGCCCCATCCCACTTACAAATGAATGACCCAGGGTTGCCAGTCCCCAGCAGCGGACCAGCACTAACAGGGGGTCGCGGATGAGCCCTATCCCCAGGCAGATTTATCCATTCCTAATATTGCTGATTGAATTGACGCATGAGAGCTGGGATCCCAAACTGCTTGCCCTAAAAAACAACCTAATTACGAGATCGCCAGATACACCAAAGAATAGCAGCAACTGCCATCAGCAGATGGGGTTGGTGAATACACATCATCAACTTTTTTAGGAATAAAGGAAACGTCTGCCTAGGAATCCATTGACCAAGGTATTCCAAACCCACATAATCCCACAAAGCCTTTGCCACTGGACAGTCGAGGAACAGATGCTCCATTGTCTTAGAATCTGCCCAGCATACTGGACAGCGAGGATGGACTGGAATATCCTTCTCAATAAGGGCTTCCGTCGTGGGAAGGAGCCGATTTAAAATTTGCTAGAGAAAAATGCGCAACTTCGGGGGAATAAGGGCATTCCATAAGCGAATCCAGCTTGGTCTATCCATCCAACTAGCCACCGATCGCCACCGTCCTTCTTTTTTATACAGGAGAACAGCCAAATGGTAGGCCGACTTCACTGTGAAAATCCCATCAGCTGTCATCTGCCAAACCAGACGATCCGCAACATCCTCGCGGGGGAGAGGAATCTCCTTAATTGCCCGACAGGTCGGGGGATCAAACCATTGGCTCATCTTTGAGTCGCACCAGCGCCCTTCCCCTGAGCATATTATCTCAGCCACCACCAGGTTTGGATTTCATAGGTCGACCTGATTTGCTGTTTCGGAGAGTGGAGAGGAGTAGGAACTCCATGAGTTTAATTAGCTTGTGTTTTTTGTTGTTATGTGGTTTTCGATTTCATGAAGTGTGTTTTATGTGAACAATTATGAAGTGTGTTTTATTATATTTCTTGTTAGTGTGTTACGTTGTTATGTTAAGAAGTTATGATTCCTTGCTATCATGATATAAGAATGATTTTAATGACTATCAAACGTAATTTGAACGATCAAACGAACCACCCACATCGACATACATACGCAAAAAAGTCGAAGGTCGTAGGCTTAATTTCCTTAATTCGGTCGATCTCTTACTGTATTCGGTCGACCTCGAGACCAACACTCGATCTTCATTTCATGTCAAAAAGGGATGGATAAATGGATAGAGCACTTTACTCTTCTGTTTGGTCGACCTCTTTCTGTAAATTGTCGACCATTTTGGTAATGACCACAATCAAGTGGTCGACCTCATTACCTTTACGGTCGACCAGTTTGCTTCAGACTACAATGAAAAGGACGACCCATGTTTTATTGTGGTCGACCGGTAAATTCACAACTGAACTCAAAACGATCGACCACTACATTTTAAAGGTCGATCGTGATAAGTCCTCATATTGCCTACATTAGTGTATTCGGTCGACCGCGATTAGGAATAGGTCAACCGAAAAGTGCATGTTACGGTGACATGTATGTCTGATGTCACCATAGGCGCACATCTTGAATGGCCAATTTGGCACTATATAGGATTATAGGTTGCGCCACCACTTAAACGATTGTGTTTGAGTTAGGCTTGGGCTATTCACGTACTTTAATCCGCCCCGAAGGTGTCAGACTCAGGGGTCCACACCCACCAATTAAGGTAATAAGGTGTCTTGTTTTCTGTAATGACCCATAACCCATTTAACACCAATTAATCTCTATATATGTGTATACTAGCGTGGGCCCCGGCCATTTGGCCGGAGGAATGTGAGGTATGAAATTTGATAATGTAATATGGTGTATAGCTTATTGTTGTATAGTTTTTTTTGGAAACACGTGATAAAAATAGTGAATTTTAGTAGGAAAGAGACATGAATGATGCAACGAATCAAAAATCAGCCTTATGAACCAAAATCAAATACCTGTTACCTTGTGAAAAAATATTGTTTCTGGTAATATGATGAGGTGGAGTAAGTTTTATAGAAACCGAATTCCAGAAAATCGAATAAAAAATCGCCTATCCCGCCGGTTTTCGGGAAATGAGCATCTCACAATCGTTGCTAGCTTTTACTCGGCCCGTTGGCCAATTAGTTTGCTTTATAAAACTTTCATCTTGTCATCATTGTGCTTTCTGTTTTTTGCCAAGCCATGATAAAATCTAAAGAATCAAGAATGAACAACACGATTTGGGATAGGAACCACCGTTCCTGTATCCCTAGAAAATTGTGGTAAACACGGACTCACCTGCCAAACTGGTTTGGATTGAGATTTTTATCGTGTATCAGAGAACTATATGATTATAAATTAGACTTGATCAAAACGGGCCAAAACTTGAAATTCAGCATGTTTGACCGACCCATGCCAAAATCTAATTATTCTTTACTTTTAAAGTTTCAATTTGAAAATAAAAAATAATGAAAGAAAAGAGATGACAGCAATTCACCATTTGCACATCACTAATTCGGGAATAAAACTATAGAATTTCGAAAGGAAACTGAAAATGTTTAGAATCGTTTTAATGTTAAAAATAGCCAAATAGATCTTTTTGTTTAGTTTTTTACTAACAAATACCAAACGATTCCCTATAATATACACTATAATTTAATCATAATGATATCAAATAATTTACATAATATATATTTGAAATGATAAAAATTGGACTAATTGGGTTGGTCGAGGTTGAACCATTGAATAAATTTAAAATATATTATATTTTAGCTACTAAAATATAAAATAATAGCATAATATATATTATGCTAGAGAAAATAGTTTGTTTTAGAATGGCAAACCCATGATGTTCATTTGTTTTACTTGATGGGCAAATCCCGGGTAGGTCAGACCCATTCAACTCTTTTATTTTATGATTAGTAGTTAGCCCATTAGAATCCATGCGTTAGTTTATTGTTAATTTTTTTCTTTTTAGCAATAAAAAGGAGTATTGCTTTTGCCTTTTCATTTATATTTTACCACCACGGAGAAATAAAAGGACTTAAAGAAAAAAATTGACACTCCTGAACCCGTTTAAATCCGCATGTGTACGGTAAGTTGGCCCGTTCCACAGAGGAAAAAGAAAAAAAATCGACACTCCCTATTCTACCCTTCCTACAACTAGAGCAGGGAATTTGAAATGAGGGAAGGGTTTTTTCCTCTCTGCAATTATATGTTTTTAATGTAAAAAGATACAACAAATGTACTTAGTGTGATTGGTTATGATATTTGTTTTTCTTTAAAGTGGTCATGGTTCGAATCCTAGTAAGTATCTTTTTAATGGATAAAAAAAAGTAATTGTGAAGACCAAAATGTCCTCCCTACTTTCACTCTGGATGCAGGAAATTTGAAATTGAGCTTGAAGTTTTCTCATTTGGCTTTTATTTATTGTATAGATATAGATATAATAATTACGACAAGAAAACAACCTAATATTACATTGCTGGGTAATAATCCGCCGTCACCGGCGTCCCCAGCGGCATCGGCACGTGCACTAGCTTGCACGGTGTGCACTTCCCGCATTTCGACGTGCACCGCGGCGGCCACGATCCCGGCCCGCCCAACAACCTCCTTGTCAACGGCGTCGTCCAACCTTCCACCGGCATCCCATTCTTCTTCTCCAAGTACTCCTGTAGAGTTTCGATAGGAAAAGATCTCTGGTCACGTGATAAAACACCTAATGACAATTTATTCACGTATCTTTGTGATCATTTACGCTATTTGGTGGTTATTCACGTAATACTATAGTTATTCACGTAAAACTGTAAGTTATTCATATTCTTGTAAATGGAAAAGCATAATTTTCCCCTAATAATTTGTATTGACTATATTTTATACAATTAAATTTGGATTCTCAATTAATCTTTAAAAATGTGTTACATTAATCATAATTTACATAATGACATCAATTTGATATGTGTGAATAACTAATAATATGCGTGAATAAACATCAGTTTGCGTGACCTAATAGTATTGGTTGCGTGAATAAGACAAATATGACATGAATAATACAAATATGACGTGAATAAATAAGAAAATGAGTGAATTAGGTGATTTGTCACCTAACTTGACAAGAGACTTGATTCTTTTCGATAATCCATAACCGTCGGAGACTAATTAATAATGTTTTTCAATGGGTTCTTATTTTGTTTATTTTTCAACAGAAGTACAAAACTCTTTTGGTTCTTGTCAAAATGTGAGCACTGAACACTTGTGGCACAAGTTACCGTAGGGCTGGGAATCTAGACCAAATCTTATGGGAAACCGCAGTCTAGATCGTATCGTATGGTTTGGTCTAGACCGTGAGACCATAATTATGGTCTGGTCTGGTTTGCGGTCTCATCCTTTAGTGCGTGGTTTGAAGTGATTTGGACCTCGGTCTACCGCAGTAAACCATAACAGACCGCGACACACTACCCACTACCTCGGATAAAAATAACACTAAATTGAACCTCCATATGTGTATTTGAAGAACTAAGTTAGTTGATTCTTCATTTAGTTGAGAGCCAACAAATTGCCAAATGATCGCTTATATGTTATCTCCTTATCAAATAACCACACAAAAACCAGAAAGACTCATAAATAATATTCACAGACAATGTCTAGACTATGGAGTCGATAAAACTTAAACACTAGAAAAAAATTCGTTCACCTTGATGAGATAAGCAAAATTATTGAGAGATATGCGACCATCTTAGTGGTTCAAAATTACCTCGACTTCATCACAAAGGTTATCAATCGAGAGAACCTTCGGATCACTCGAGAGAGGAGAGAAGCGGTAGCACAAAGAGGAATAGGGAAACAAGGCTATTTGATGTGTCTGTGTGTTTGAAAATGGAAAAAACCCACTTCTATCCTCATATTTATTCTTATTTAATTATGATCACAATTTTTTGTTTCACTAGCATATTGGTCACTAGAATTTTTTTTTATTGATACCGGCGAAGGGTTGGAGGGCGAACAAGCGTTCATTTTTTTTAACATTGTCAGTCTGGTCCAGACCGTACTGGACCGCACCACACCGATGTGGTCTGGTCTGGACCGTATAGTATATGGTCTGACTATACGGTCTGGTCAATGGTCTCTGTTCCAATCTCTCGCTCTGGACCACAGACCATGTCTATGGTCTGAACCGGACCGCACCGTTTCCCACCCCTAAGTTACCGAGACGAGTCATGGTAACGCGACTAGTGGAGTTGGGGGCTCAGTCTTAGGGTTAAAATGCGCCAGATGGTGTTCACTCTCGGTTCATGAGAAGGAAGGAGCGGTTACCGTTGGAAGCGCCTTCGTCGTAATCGGACGGCGGAGGAAAGATTACATTATTAGTTAAGCAAAGAAAAAGAAGAAGAGAACAAGCGAGGGGAATAGTGATCCAGCCTAGTTATTATGCTAATAGCATAAGTTGTTAGTATATACTAACGAATATCCAAAATGTATGAACTAGTATCTAAGTCTGCTGATTTTATTAAAGTATCTAGATAGCACAGACTAGTATTCAAAACATCACAAACTAGTATCTAGATAGCATATAGTATATGAATACTCTTATGCCATATACCAACTAATATCCACAATTAATCAACTAGTATTCAATATGAATACTCTTATGTGTTATCTGGATACTCTTATGTGTTCTCTGGATACTAATTATATGTTGTATGGACACTATTCTGTTTTGTTTAGATATTAGTTTGTGAATTTGGAATAATAGTTGATTCATGGTGGATATCACTTAGCAAACCTTGAATACTAGTCTGTGCTCTCTAGATACTTTAGTACTTGGATACTAGTTCATGTATTTTGGATATCAGTTAGTATCTGCTAACGTATCTTCAAGTTAGCAGATTAACTTTCCCCATAGTGATCGGTGTAGGGTGCAGGGGCGCAGTCACAGTGGGTTGTTTTTGGACCGTTGCAATTGCCTCTGTTTGGTGACCAGGAAAAGACGAGAAATGACAGTGAGTGGAAAAACACAGAAAACAAAAAAGGAGCTGACCGGCAGGTAGGAAGGCAAGACAAGAATCTTTCTTGGTGGAGTGGAATTCACTTCACTGTAATTCACCAGTAAAGTTTCAATCTTGTAACAGTAGAGAGAGAGAGAGAGTAATTACGTTGAACTTGAAGTAGAAGTAGAGAGTACTAACCTGAAAATGCAAATCGGGGGAAGCAGAGAAAGTGCACCTGATGCCTGCAGTTTACCCACATTCAGTAATGAGAAGAACAAATTCAGTTACAAAGTATGAGAACAAGTCACATTTCCTGCCTCTTCTGTTTGCCTCGTCTTCCTTAAAAAGAATACCCCATTAATGTCGACATTCAATTAACAGAATAAATGAAGTAGTTGCGAGTTGGGGAGGATAGGAAAGTACCAGGATGTTGGGGATTAGCGGAAGTAGTGGTAATTTTGGATCTAGACTAAGGAAACAATTGGTGTTTAATCACTCTTTTTTATAAATCACTCAAACAAACAAGGCCTTAACTTTTGGCACTTGTTCTTACAACTCACACACGTAGGAGACTTCCTTTCCTTTCCTTTCTTTTCTTTTTGTTTTCACTTCTCTGCTCTTGCCCATAGCTCACGTACACATATAAAATAGGAGATGGAAACATTGGTTCCCCTCACACTAAATACAATTGGTTGATTTCTATATATTATTACAGACACATAACATGTTGTGGATGAGATGAGTAGAAAGCTCAACTCCCACATTTATTTGTGCAATCCAAATTGGTCTTCATCACCATCAATCCATCATGCTGTCCAAGGGCCTCTCATTCACTTCACCTTGTTGGTTGTTCACATTCCAAGACAAGTTGTAAGCATAATGATCCATAAATGATAATTGACCCCTCCTGTTTAATTGCAAATTAGTATTTCAACACCCCCTCTTAATTTGCAATTTGGAGTAGCTCCTTGAACTTCCCAAACTTTTCACGGGTTACCGTCTTTGTCATGATATCTGCTGGCTGGTCGTCGGTGTTGATAAATTCCATCACGATTAATCCTTCGTTGACGAGGTCTCGGATGAAATGATGACGCAACTTGATATGCTTCGATCTTGCGTGAAATACTGGATTTTTTGTCATGGCTATAGCTGACATGTTGTCACAATGAATAATGGTTGGACCATTTTCATTTTGCTGCAAATCAGAAATTAATCTTTTTAGCCATACCGCTTCGCATGTTGCATCTGTAGTTGCGATATATTCTGCTTCCGCTGAAGATAATGCCACAGTCTTTTGCTTCTTTGAACTCCAGGAAATGGGTTTTGAACCCAGGCAAAATATGTACCCCGATGTGCTTTTTCGGTCATCTAGTGATCCTGCCCAGTCACTATCGGTAAATCCAGTCATCTTGCTTTCTGCTTCTTTCTTGTACATCAGGCCCAATTTCTTTGTACCTTGAAGATACCGCAAAATTCTTTTTGCTACTGCAAAATGAAGTTTGCTAGGTTCATTCATAAATCTTGATATAGGACTTACTGAATGACATATATCCGGCCTGGTATGTGTCAGGTAAATGAGTGACCCGACAAGACTTCTGTACAGCTTTTCCATCAACTTTTTTAGCTCCATCATTGCGTTGCAATTTCTCGTTCAACACCATCGGTGTTGAGATTGGTTTGCACGTTGCCATGTGAAATCTTTTGAGCATATCTTCGGTGTAGTTCTCCTGTGAAATAAATATTTCTCCACGTGACTGCTTCACTTGGATCCCAAGAAAATACTTCATGAGTCCCAAGTCCGTCATCTCGAATTCTTTCATCATGGTACTTTTGAATTCTTCGATCATATGTTGATTTGTACCTGTGTAAATCAAGTCATCAACATACAAACACACCATTAGAAAATCTTTTCATTCTCCCTTTTTGATGTAGAGAGATGCTTCACTCGGACTTCTTTGAAATCCGTTTTGCTGAAAATATCGATCAATTCTGCTGTTCCAGGCTCTCGGTGCTTGCTTCTGCCCGTATAAAGCCTTTTGGAGACGATAGACTTTGTCTTCTTCTCCTATTTTCTCATAGCCTCTTGGTTGTTCCACATAGACTTCTTCTTCTAGTTCTCCATTCAGAAATGCTAATTTGACATCCAGCTGGTATACTGGTAACTCCAGTTGAACAGCTAGAGTGAATACTGTTTGATGGTCTCCATTATCGCTACTGGTGCGTATGTCTCGTGAAAATCAATACCGGGTTGTTGTGAATAGCCCTTTGCCACCAGTCGAGCTTTGTACTTCTGGATAGTACCATTTTCATTGAATTTGATCTTATAGATCCATTTGAGACCTATAACCGGTTTGCTCTCCGGTTGATCAACAAGCTCCCATGTCTTGTTTTTCTCGATCATGGAAATTTCTGCATCCATTGCCTCGTTCCAAACTTCTTCTTTGGATGCTTCTTCAAAGACTTGAGGTTCACATGAAAAATATGCAACATGACTTGTTTCATAAATTTCTCGCAAAGACCTTGTTTTTAACGGAGGTGAATCCGATTCTGTTACGACGTCTCTGAAGTCGTCTTCTTCTGGGCTAGGTGCAGAATTTCTTTCTGGACTTGCAACTGGGTATGGTTCGTTGCAGTGGTCTTCTGGAGTTGCTGAGTCCTCC